TGATAACATTTCAGACATTGTTATAAATGATTTTATATATTTCGAATTTTTAACCAAATGTTCGAACTGTTTTAAATTCGAATTTGTTATTGCGTATTGGTTCGATTATAGAACGATTGTAAACGTTCCAGAAAATTGATCAAATTGAAAATAGTTCGTTTGATTTTGAGCAATTCTCATCATTTTCAGCGATAGGTGTTATATAACAATTACTATGGTTGTTGAAATACTGAATATAAATGTGGTTTGCTTGCAAAACCTCCGCGGGCGAAGTCGCGGATAACTGCTAGTATACTATATAACTTATATACGAACTTCCGATACAAACTGAAAGTCACGTTATTTCAATTTATTTTGTTTTACTGTTATGGTTCAGGTGGTCTCAAAACCTGTGGAGTATTTCAAAATATCCGCAGGGTCAAATATGATACGATTTAAATACTTTCCCTTATTATGTATATCTTGCAGTGAAACGACAACTATCTGATACCAAATGAAAGATGATACATCGGTTGCCTCGATGGAAATAAATGATTCACCACAATAGATTAAAAGAGTAATTGTGGCAAGTAAAAGTGCATCCCGACAAGCGTGAGGAGACGATCTTTACGACTGGTCTTGTGTCAATTTAAAATCTTACTGTCCGGGATTTGTAATTCGCCAGCTATGTTTGAACGTTTGATAGAAACTGCATTACAAGTGCTGCATTGCAGGTGCTACAGGTGGTGTATGATTTACCTGGACCATATTATAATAGTAGGGAGAAGTTTTTAAGAACATATAGAAAACTTAAGAAAAGTACTGTAGAAATTAAAAGCTAATCTAAAACCAAATTCCAAGAAATGCAGTTTTTCTGTTAAGAGGTCAGTTATTTAGATATATTGTTTCCCCTTTGTATGTGCAGATCCTAAGAAAATAGTAGCTGTCTGGAATTATATCTGACTGATCAACCTAAAAGGTACTGACATAAATATAAAGATATATATACCATATATATGACTATTCACATAGCCTATATACACTATATATATACTTAAATTGTTCGTATAATTTAGATATTCTATAGCTACGAAGATTTCATGCTAATACACAAATGTATTTTTGTTTAATTATTTTCACTAGGAAAATTTCATAGAATACTGTGTATCGGTAGTGTTGTGATACTATTGTGATCAGGATAAAACTTTTTATCTCCAGCTCCAGTCAAACATAATCTGGTAAACATTTTCCCGGGGAGACAAAGCTTATAGACAAACAATTGAATCAATAAATTGTAATTTAATTTTTGGTGTATTCTCCACATGTGGAATACAATATTGCATCAATACAAAAAGACGGACAAAATGTCCTATAGCCGAGGGTATAAGGTAACATATCTCAACACATATGATTTTAATTTGTGACATTTTTTACTAGTGCCCTGTTTTCTCTTTCTACGGAGGACTATTAGCATTAGGATAAATTTCATGTAAATAATCTAAATAAAGGTTATCCACATTGGAAGGAGTTGGTCAACCAGGCTGTGTTTCTTCGCTAAATTATGAAAAAAGTTTTACCGCCCAAAATTAACCTGTTAATTTATCTGTCAGTTTATCACAAAGTTTTAAACTCGTGTAAAAGGGGACTTTAATTCTGTAGATTAAAGTACATTTATTTTTGACTCTTCGACTTTAGATTGTCAAATGAAAATATGATAATAGGAAGTCAAGCATTTTGCTTATCACATTTAAATTCACATATTACATCTGCTCGTCTATTGTTTAGATCTATTTGGATTACTTTTTTCTTTTCATTTTTTAATGAAATTATTTAACATAAATTTTATTCCCGATATTAATAACATATTATGTACTTTAATTTTGATATTTTCGAAAATTTTTTTATAAATACAGGAAAGGCTGCATTGTTGTCAATAACTAAACATATAAAATACTAAATGTTTTACAACCGTTAAATTATAATCGAATATTAAAAAGAGCAATTATTTATTCTCACATCATCACAATGCAGCGTTGCAATTTTTCGTATATTGCTCTCAATTTTATGGTGTTTTTCCTTGTACAGTACATCATACTTTTCCGCAATGAAGTTGCACCTGTGATCTATCTAACTCCGTTCAGGAGAAAATATTTGAATTGAAATGACATGATTTCCGGTCCAAACCGAAATTTCTTATATACAGTAGAGCGTCGATTATCCGAAAGAATTCCAGTCGGCAAATTTCAATTTTCGCCAGTGTTGTGGCGCTGCAATCTTTGGCTATGTCTTGGGCTACTCAAATATTTTACGTTTTTGATACTAAATTATCTTCTGAAGTATAATTTTTTATTGTTTTTATATTTTTCAATAAATTTATTTTGTTCGTACAAAATAAAAAAAAATAACTTTTAACGATACAATAGTCGTTAGGCTTAACATCGACGAATATTCAACGCGAAGCGACACGCAACGGAGAAAAATCTCAACATGGGATAAATTAATATATTTTTTCGTACGTAATCGGTTATCCGAAAAATAAGTCATCCAAACAACCCCAGTCCCCAATTGATTCGGATAATCGACTTTCTACTGTAGTTAATCGGACAATCTACACATAAGCTTTCTGGTCTCGATTTTCATCTAACTTCATTCTCTAGATTAAGGAAGGAGAGACACAGACAGCTGACAGACGGACGTCAGTGGGAATTTATAGGTCCGCAACTTTTAAAAATTGCAGATCTGTAAATAACAAGTGTTTTCAGTATTATGATGATAAATTTTTTATCTAAATATTATCGTATTTACTTACTTTTATTTATCTATGTTCTCATTCAAGCGTTAGATAATGCTTCAACGTTAAAGCAAAATTTTAACGTACAATACTTTTTATTTTATTGTATTTTCTGGATATATTTTCCTAAGTAACCTAAATATAATTTTCTTCGGCAGCTGGATGATCGAGAGGATAAAGAAGTTAACATCCACTTTAAAGTGCCCGTGACATATTTTAATCAATATGACGTTTTTTATTAGCTATCTTAATATATCGAAACAAGATAAAATATATTTTATTGATTAATTATATGAAAAAACAATGTTAAAAGGTTTCTTCATTGTTAAAGTTATAAAATGAGTAATTTTCTCGTTATTTAAGTTATTATCGTAGACGTATTTGTGAATTACGTAGTAACTATGAAATGCAAATAAAACGATCCCACATAATCTTAAAAGCTTATATGGGATCGTTTTATTTGCATTTCATTCAGGAAGTTAATATTATGTCACCTAGGTAACGATAGTTTAGTATTATAATATAATTAATATAAAATAAGAGCAAGAATGACTATTATTTATTTATTTTGGTAGTTTTTATATTGCTCAATTAATAATTATAAGTGAAATATAATCAATTATTCGTTGAATTTAGTCTATCATTATTTATTTATAGACAGTACACTATTTTCAGGCAACTCACTGTGTTGTTTATATTTTTATACTCCTAATTCGTTTTTCTTTATTCCAAATTCGATTTTTCTATCATTTCAGCCAATAAACAGAACTTTCGAGTGATCCTTTAAGGGTTCTTTCTATCAGTTTTGGCGTTAGTAACATAAAAATCATTTGTAAAATTTAATTTTTGTGTTTCTGTTTAATATATGATTTGGGCATTTTAAATAATATTTTAGTAGTCACAGCGTATATTTTAACATATTCGCTGTAAATACTAAAACATTCGTAGCTTAAAGTTTTATTACTTAATACGCAACTCCATTGTTTCACATTCGTATACGTATTTAAGAATAAATTACGTCCAGAAGTCGGCGATTGATTGTATTTATAAATAATTTTCTTAATTTAATTCGAAATAAAAATAATTTATTTATTTATCTTATTTTATTTTTTTGTACAGAAGTTAAGAGTAAATAAAATTTCTTCATTAATCATTTAACGTTACTATAGACGAGTACTGTACAGTATATGTTGCTCTGACTGGTGACAGAAGCGCCTACTTGTATAAATACTTTAGTATTTTTTTAAACTCTGTTAAAAAAAGTACTAGGACACTGATACAAAAAAACATAATTTTTGATAAGTCTTATTTTCTCCATAGTTAAGATTATAATTTGCACTAATACCTTTATGAATTGTTTCTTTGTAAATTGTAAAATTTTGTTTTCATTATATTACTGTTTTTATATTGAATTTTTGCGCTCCCAAATTTTTATTCTTCCAGGCTCTAGCCTAGTTGGCCTGGTGGAAAATATGCAGCTGCTTGTAAATAGTCTTGAACTACTGAGCTCTTTATAAGCAACAAAATCAGGTCCGACATTGAACTTTGTATTCAACGTTAGTGTCGTGCTTTTTCTTTAGAATTAATAATTATCCACAAGGTCTCCATAGTAAGTGGTTATAGAATAAATTGAGATCATCTCGTAATCTCAACTACACTATTTGTGTATATATTAATTATTTTAAAAAAACACCTCTCTTTGTTTCACAATAATAATTGTTATTGGTACTATCAGTTATTAACTAAATCTTTATTTTTCCTGTCCTTCTCAAACCTCCCAAAACAATCTCTAAGGGCGAAAATTTAAAAATTGTAACGCATATCAAGTACTTTAAATTTTACAGATAAAAGTCTTTATTACGCTTCATCAGATATTTGAGTATAATATCAATTAGAAGAGGCATATTTTTTAAATTACAATTAAATTTCTCGAATATTATTTAATTACATATTGAATTCTAATGAAAATTGCAATGTAATAATATATACGCTGATCTAATGTAGCCTTTATAATGCATGAAACAAAGTATTTATCGATATATAATTACTGAATATTCATTTTAATTCATTCATTCACAATTAGATTTGTAAAGACTAATAATATTGTATTGAGGTAAATGCAAATAAGTTAGCCTATATTATAATTATATATATTTTATCTTCATCATTATTAAAATGACAAATGTAATCTTTCTAAATTTGTAAAATGTAGATTACACTGTTACAATATTTATTTTCTACGAAATTTTTTTGTGACCTTTTTTATAATTCCATTTTTAACCATGTGAACGACCACCTCGCAGATGAATACACTGAAAGCAGAGCAGTGTCCAAGTAACATAATATAAATAATAGAAATGGCTTGGTCGATTGTCATTTGATCTTCGGAATTATCAATTGCGGGTGAATAAAATTCACTTTCTCGTCTTGCTTTTTCTAATTGATCAGTATAAAACTTTGTCATAATTCCTGATTGATGAATAACATTTATCCTAAAAATTGTATTATTTCATTTAATTATATTTTTATTAGAATAAGTAAAAATGTAAAAAGTCAATTAGTCTTACATTTTGTCCAGATCATCATTATTTCTAAACACTTGTCCCATCATCGAAATGTAATTGTACGATGAAAACAGAACGTCTTGAGACACGAAAAAATTATCTTCTCCCATTTTCATGATTTCTGGTTTTATGAGACGTTCTGATATTATTAATGCATAACCTCCTTTTATAACTTTTTTAAGAGCTTTACTCTCACTTTCCATGACGTTCTCCAACACATCTGATGACATTGATTCGCCTAACACGGATACAATTTCATTGCGATTGTCTTCTTTCATTAGATTCGGTTGCTGAAATTAAAAATATTAAATTGTTTTCAGTACTTTATTCATGATTTCATAGTAAATTTATAATTATACTGTCTAAATCTTTTTGTTTAAAGAGTAATCTCCTAATATAAAACTGAACAAATTTTGAAAATTAGCTTTCATGGTATACGTGCAAATTAAGAAAAGCTTACCATAAATAACCAAAATTCTTTCGATTGGTGAATAGTTAAAATAGAATATTCTTTTCTTTTCACAGCTTCGGCAAGCTCGGCAAAGTTTTCAGGTATTACTTCTTTCCCAGGAAATATCATAAATGAGGGTAGAATACCGAGATACCCAGATGTAAGTACAAAAGCCATCAGCAACCAAGTTCCCATAATTATTTCAATGGTGTCAAAAGAAAGTGAATCAATCCCGGTATCTGTAAAATTATTAATGCTATTATTGTAATATTTGGTTATTAATATATAATATTCTCTGTGGCCAAAAGAAGAGAGACATTAAAATTACCCCTTAACATCATAAAGCCTTAGGCATAAAAAAATACCTTACGGTTAAAAATAGTTGAACATAACGGAATGGCTTATGGTAGGGAAGCCAAATAAACGTGGAACTATAACTATAGGTTGCCACTTTTCAAGCAAAACACAGAAGCAACACATAGAATCTTCTTGTCGAAGTATTCGGCATGATATCGTCGATGTTGACATAGAATCATATAGGAAGCAGAGACAATGTGAACTACAGCAGACATAGACACAAATGCACTGAAGTTTACATTGCCATGACAAAACCCATTCATATCTGCAACTCATATAATATGCAGAGGAAGGCGAACGACGATTTGACTAGTGTAACATGATACTACAGTTAGGGTGCGACTATGCAGACGCGAATTTATAGCGAGCGAGAGGTTGCGAGCGATTTAGTTTTCGCAAAGGAAAACCATGCACAAACGAGAAGCGAGAAATAACGCTAGCGATAGCGAATTTCTGGTTCTCGCACATATCTGACAGGTTTTGATATTTATCGCATCTCGCCTCTTCTCACCACATATTCTCGCTCGCTTGGAAAATTCGCTCGCTCGCCTCTGCATAGTCGCAGCCTTACTCCAGGTCCAACCACAACTTTTTATCGCATTATACTATATGCACTAACGCGACACTTTTTTGAAATGAACTAAAATGTGCATCACTGAGCGCAGCTTACTTCATAATGCATACGCAATACACGGCCCCAGGTCAGGTGGTTTTACATCTAACATCTGACGTGATCAGTTTTTTGGTCCCGTATTCATCGACGGTACTATTACTGATGACCGTTATCTTTGCATCCTACGATGGACAAATTGCATTGGATTAACCGCAACATATTTGGTATCAATATGATGTCGCGTCAGCTTATTCCCGGGAAGAAGTGCGTCAGTGGTTCACAGAGTGATTCGTCAGCCGATGGATAAGACAATGTGGCCCTGTTCCATGGTCCATCATATTTCCGAAACTTGGCTAGGGTTGACATTTTTCTGTAGAGTCATCTAAATACATCATCTATTAGCCCTGCGTGATGTTGACGAACTGGAGAGGTGAATAAGAAAGGTATGTAGTACGGTAACACCAGATACCATATGTACCAACATCCATTGTGCCATTCTGAACCGTTTACACCTTTGTATTGTCGCTGTGGCAATCGTTTTGTAGTAAAATAAAGCTAACTGTTTTTGTATTAATATTTGCAATGTTGGTTTTTTATCTTTTACTCAGAGATTCTTTGTACGTTTTAAGATTTAGTATGCTAGGGACGTTATTATATAGGCGTATGGCTGGATAGGAGTAGTATAGGAATGATGCATTCTGGGGTATAAAAATTAATTAGTATTAATTAGTATATAAATTTAATATTAAAAATTTTTTTAGTATATAAATTTAATATTAAAAAATTTTTTTTGAATTATATCGAAATAAAGACCGATACAGTATAGATTATATTTCATTTGTATAAGAATTTAATAAACAAAACGATAACACAAGTTTTAAAAAAAAAAATTCGAAACTCGAGCACCCCCTTGTATTACAACTTTTTTTTCGAATTATATCAAAATAAAGACGATACAGTGTAGATTATATTTAATTTGTATAAGAATTTAATAATACAAAACGATAATACAACGTTTTTTTTTAAAAAAAATTCGAAAAACTTGCATCTTGTAATACAAATTCGTACTTTGAAATAACTCCTGTGAACCCCGCGCTACTTTCTTTGTTTTGAAATTCCCGCCATTCTCAGTTCTAACACAGAACATGGAAGTGTATTTTTTTTATCTGAAGATAATATACGATTTAAGTTTTTAAAAACGATTTGTTCTTAAAGAAAAATATGATTTGGTGTTAGTGTTTAACGAAGATGCGATTGATATAGGTAAGCAAATTATAGTAATATATTTTTTAAAAATAATGGAATTATCAGACCGCGTTTTTTAATCTATTTCGTTAATTTTGGTAATAGTTGATATTTACTGAATGGGCCCGTTTTTTCTAATTTTGCTCTCTTTAGACACCTCTCTAATAGACGTGTCCTAAACAATTAGAATTATTTGGGGGAGACGCGTATATTAAGAGCTATAAGCGAAAACGCATCGGATTACTTACCGACTGTGCACTGTGGAGGCCGCCATTGCTTAACCTTGTTTACATCGCGGAGTAGCACGTTGGACGGCGGACGCTTACAATTCGTGTCACGTGACCTCGGTTAACGTCATCCAGTCACGTGAGCGGTGACGACGGAGCCAGGTGGTCACGTGACTACAGCTCTGACGTATTTCCGGACAACTATACCTTGAGTCACGTGATAGAGTACAGTGCGTTCGTTAATAGCGATCGTTCGTAGACATTGCGAACAACGGACAGAGAAAAAAAAGATGGCGACGTCCGTAATATCGACAGTAGCATGATGGGGGATCTATAATTTTAAAATATGCGTTTTTAGAGACAAAATATTAAAAAAGCCGTCCAATAGCATTTTAAAATATGCGTTTTTAGAGACAAAATATTAAAAAAGCCGTCCAATAGCATTTTAAA